CACACACACACCACGCACACACACATATACACACACACAAACACACACACACACACACACACACACACATGTCTTCACACATACATAAGCAAACACACACCTGTATTACGAGCATCCTGGAATCTGGACTAAGCCCATGCTGTTTCTCAAGCCCCACTCTGACCAGTGTGTCAATGCTTGCACTGCCTGTGATACGACCCATGTATAGGGTCTTGGGCGTGCTGACAAAATGAGTTACTTCTCGAATTCCACAAATGGAGACATTGGCCAAAAATCGACGTTAGGGTCAAAGTTGTAGATTTTCAATTGATGCCAGATTCTTTAACTATAACCTATCTTTTATTATTTCATACTTATAAACTGTAAAAACTTTACCTATAAGCATGATGTATCTATTTCCGTAAGGCTTGAATCTGTGAAGTAACTTATTTTGTCAGCACACTTCACATATTATTGTTATTGTTGTTGAGTGTCAACGTTCACGAACCTGCCAGTAGCCCTCAATCATTATATTATTGTTCTTTCTCTTTTTCTACAACGCCCCCCCCCCCCCTTAACTTTTTGTTCAACCCCAGTCCCAGAAAGACCGCGCTGTGGAGATTGCATAAACTATTATGGAAGACACAGAGGTCAGGCCGTGTCAACATGGTGGTCCCCGTAAGACATGCAGTAAAAAATAATGTCAGACTCAGGTAAACTACGGCCCGGACAAGCGAAAAAGTAGGCCTGCCCACGACACTATTATTACGCATAACACTCCATAGGTATGTGGAAAAACAAAAGACACCATGCGCCTTTTGGAGAAGATTCTTACGGCCCCCAAAATCAAAATGATTTTTTTTTTAAGTTGCTATTTTTTTCTTTAAAAAAAAAAGTTTTAGCAAGAGTTTTACAGCACTCGCAAAACAATTATGTAAGATACATTTTGAATTCAGAGGTTTAGTTAGATCGCTATGGCTATTCATCGATATTTCTGGTTAAACTAAATGCTCTTCCACGTCCCTTCCAACTCTATGCTGTTTTCCAATATTTCGGTAGGGTCTTATATTCTTGAAGAATCAGAGATATTCTGTTTTTACGCTGTCAGTTTAAATATCTATGTCTATAGCGCAAGCAAGCACGCCTGTGCACACACACTTGCACTCACCATAAACACACACACACACACACACACACACACACACACACACACACATACACACACATACACACATGCACGCTCACACAAACACACGCACACACACACACACACACACA